TTTGTCCTCTTGATATCACTGATGATGACCAGACACAACGAAACCTATAGTATTCTAGGACAGTTCTTCATAGTCAATGCTATGTGAAAATACATGTATAGTATTTAACTTTGATTAACTGAATGGGTCGTATTATATGAAAATTATTTTATTCTGCTAAAGTCCATACAAGTTGATAAGAAATAACTTTAAAACATTATTTTAGGTGCACAGTGGCTTTCCGTCCTCTTGCTTGTGAGCTTTTTTAACATCAGCTTGTTTTCTTGCAACATGTGAGTCTACCAATGACAGCACCTGTCTCTGCTTTGAATGTTGCCAAACACTGAACCTATCAGAAAAAAATCATGCTTTGTAATTTCTATTGGATATATCCAATCTAAGATGATCCACTCTGTTTCTCAAGAAACTCTTCATTAAGACAATGTTTAGCGCTTCAGCAGACTTTGACCCCCCTCCACCCGATCTCCTCCCTCTCTCAGTTCACTCTTAGAATCGCTCTTCCTAAATTCTTCATCCAGGCTCACGACAACTTACAGCATAAAGTCTTCTGCCTGGATCTGAGCACCAAAGCATTTATTTTCATTCATATCAATAACACCTTTCTAATTCTCTCTGTTCTCCATGTGAGTCTCCCCAGGCTGAAATAACTATTGAGAATCATGTGTCCTTTTTTCCTAATACATCCACTATATCTGAATTAATTTCTGGCTGAAATGTGGCTAAATGTGAATAAAACCTTTAGGAAATTAAAGCAGTTACCATAACAGTAATGCTTTAAAACCTTTTATCTGATATAATTTGATTTCCTAAATAAATCAGTAAATTGAAACTCTGAAACTTAGCTTATATTAGACTGGCACATTACAGTGAAATCTCTTTGGTGATAAAGAGTGTGCAGTGAACTTTTTTATGTGATCAGACCTTTTGTTCTGAGAAAATGTCAGCTTGTAGCCTTCCAAATCCCACCTTAATATTGAAGGGCGAAAAAAACAGAGATCATAAAGTACTCCTTGCCCTCTTTCAGATAATATCATTTGAGAATGTCATATAGGTACTTAAGCTGTTTTACTCAAAGAGATACCAACCACACAACACTTTGCTCTGTGACAAATTATTAAACTACAAAACATTGCAGGCAGCTTTCAGACTACACTGATTTTCAATCATCATATTTTTCCTTACTTTTTAGTACTGTCACCTCCAAAACTCTTCAAACTAACACAATGAGTGGCGGCCTAGTGGTTAGAGCACAGAGCTTGGAATCCTGAGTCAGAGCTCGAGCCCCACTCCCACAGATTGCCACTCTGGGTCCCTGGGCAAAGACCCTTAACCCCAAACCGCTCCCCAGGCCCAACAAAATGGCGACCTAATGCTCCCGAAGAGGATGGGTTAAATACAGAGAGTTAATTTCATTCCTCTGTACTCTCAACAATGTAATGACAATAAACGTTGGGGAAAAAAGAAAAAAAACATACTTTATTTGGGAAACACTTCATTTGGAACCTCTAAATAACAAATGAGCAAGGTTAAGTTACATTAGCTAAGGAAATTATTGTGTAATAAGGGAGGATTTAATGCAGTTTATTCTCACTGTAATAGTGGTTAAAGAAAGATTTACATTTAGTGTCTCTTAAAAAGTTTAAATATTTAATAAAGTAATATAGTTTTAGAGAAGTGTAGCACAAAATGTAAAGATAGAGTTATCAAATGTTTTGTTGAAATTAGTCAAAATCCGGGTCAAAAGAACCATGTTCAGAAAAACAGAGTGAAAATAACTGTGAAAGATTTGAGAAAACTAATAAAAAACTAGCAAAAAACTATTCTACAAACTTTCTAAAATATCCCAGATTTTCCACTGACCTAGAAAGCCCAGGAGTAGAAGGTGTTCAGTGCTCAGCGACATCACCAAGGTAAGGAAAGAATCCCACAATAAAGAATGAACCGTTTTTCAAAGCTTTTATGGGCTAATGCGAGACTTTCGATTAACAATATAAATCATTGTAGATGTCCTATAGAAAGTGTAAAATTAATTTTTAAAGGTCTTAGATTTAGAATCTTAAATTTCAGAGTTTCAGGACTTTAAAGATAACTGAAAAAATGGAAGAAGCTTGTTTGGTGTTTCTGTACAACTATCTCGATTATACTAATCTGTAATAACTTAATTATCACCTTTATATCATTATCACCTTTGTGTCTAATTTATTGCCTGCATCTTTTTTTCATTTCTTTGAATGGCTGTTCCTATCACTAATTCATTACAACCTCGATCAGGCTACTGTCTAGACAGTTCAGAACAAGAAAGTGGTGGTAGGTAGAAGTAATAATGGATGGAACTAGTACGTAATAATGGCTGCCTCATTACATTATTAAACTGTTGTTAAATGGGAGCCAACACTACCATGGTCGTATCATAAAATTATGAAGAAAGGAAGGATAAAACAACTCAAAATAATGAACAAGAGACTTCACTGGAGCATCCAGTAACTGCTGTTTCTGCTCTTCAAAAGTGTCTGTAAATGTCTAGTGGGACCCAAGGCACCAACAGAAAAGTCTGATTAAATGTGGCATGACAGTTCTTTAAAACCATTGGATACAGTACCCCCATTCTAAAGTAGCATTAGCTAGATAGATAGATCTCTATATACTGTATCTCTATATGTATTTTGCCTACATGAAGGACATTAACAATGTTGAATGACATAAAATGCTTAATTTATCTGCTCTTACTCAACTCTGGGAAATGTTGCTAAAGGAAAACCATGACTATCAAATTCTTTGCTTTACCACAATAATCGTTTGTGAGTTTGGTCAACTATTACAGTAAACAGTTACAGACAACATAACCAATACTAGCTTATTCAGGTAGCAACAAGCAAGATAGTAACTGGCAGTGTTGGCATGAATGCGTTCAATGAATGGCATTCACTGAATATGTTCAAACTTTCAGTGAACGTTGAACTGAAAAGATCAAGTATGAAGTAAGGAACATGAATGAGAGCCATGTTCACTCTGAGGATAATGAGTGTTCAATTGATATAGACACATTCCATTGGATAATGCTATGTTTTATGTCCTTATTAAGGCAAACAACATGACAGACCAGCATGTCCACTGCTAGTACTTGTATGTGATTCATACTCTTCTACTGGTATTTATGATTCCAGTTTTGCAGAGCACTTGGCAGATATTTATGAACAAACAAAAGAAGACTTGGGCAGAAAAAAACTCATTTTAGTGCAAACTGTGTCCACCAGCACTTAACAAACAAGTAGGTAGGTCAGCCATGTCCACTTCAAATTTAGAGCAACAAATGGTGTTAAAGCATCCAGTCTATCCTGGGAAATATCTGCTACCTTATGAGGAACATAAGAAATAATTTTGATATAGATTTCTTTTAGCAGAACCTGGATGTGCCTATATGTTTCTGAAGTTATTTTTAATTTAGCTAAATAAAGTCTTTACTACACATACATGTGAGTGGGAGTGGTGCCCTAGTTGTTAGGGCAATGCGCTTGGAATCCAGTGGATCTGAGTTCAAGCCCCACTCCCACAGACTGCCACTCTGGGTCCTGAGCAAAGACCCTTAACCCCACACTGCTCCCCGGGCGCCGCACAATGGCATCCCACTGCTCTCCAAGGGGATGGGTTAAATGCAGAGAGTGAATTTCGTTGCCCTGTACTTGTGACAGTGTAATGACAATAAAAGCTGGAAAAAGAAAAATGTAAGAAAAAAAAAAGCATACAGTATACCTGGACTGCATCAACATTTTCTATTTCTTTCTATATATCATGATCACACATTTAAAAGGTGAAATATGAGGTTCTATTGTGTACGATTGAGGATTAAGTTACCAAATAATCTTGTCCTAGTTCATTTATGGGCTTGTGAACTTAGCTACTTTGAGCTTGTTTTTTTTTAATATGAACTGGCACAACGTTGGTAATTGGATTTTACTTTAGCCTTAATGCAAAAGTGAAAGCCCCAGTAAAAAAAAAAAAGACCAAATAAAAATCTGTTTCCAGAAACTGGTTATGAGTCCAATGAGTTTTAGACATGGGTCTGTATGATCATTAGATAGTGGTGGTGAACTCTGGGCAAACATGACTATAATAGGTAAACTATAAGAAAGTCTTTAGTTTGTAACTGGGAAATACATTGTTTGAAATAAACATATTGTCTCTGTTAAAAAGAAGAATCTCTCAGTTTAGTTCTATCTGTTAATGGAGGTATTTCAACAAAATTCAACACAATTCTCTGAATGCATTAAAAAGCCAACAGTCTGACAAGTCCTTCTTGGCAGAGACATGTATGTAGAACTAGGATAAGAAATGAATAAAATAAAATACCACTATGCTAGCTGTTTTTGAGCTGATAAGATATGACTCATGATTTGTGTTAATTTAGCATTAAGACATTTTATTAGCGAACCTTATTCCAGGAATTATACTAATTAGGCCAATGACCACTTTGGCTCCATTTTCTATGCATCCTAGCTTTTTAAAAAAATAAATAAATACAAAATACCATCTCACAATGAAATTAAAAAATGCCAACAGGCTTCAGCTCACTAAGAATGCAAGCTGTTACCACTTTTGTCTTAAATAAGAACCCTAGGCTGAAAATAACAGCCAAAGGTTTTTTATTTTTCTTTATCCTTTCTTTCCTTTAATATTTTTCGGTAAGATAAGAAAAACATTGTACAAGGCCAGAGAAAAACTCTGCATAATATTGCAATTACTATAATCGATGAGTCTATATAAACTGGTTTGAGCGTATTCGGACTGCTCTCCACAGAAAAAGCTCTTGCTCAAGGGTTTTTGTAACCAGTAACCCAGTATGAATATGGAAAAAAGGCAGATGGGGAATTCATTACAGTCTGAGTGACTGAAAAATTATGTATGTACATAATTTGCATTCAAATACATGAACAAAACATCCAAACAAAAAAGAAAACCAGAATTTCCACGCTGCCATGTTACAAAGGATGCTCAGGACTTACGATAAGGTCCTTTCCAGCCGTCCTCCTGTTGAGCCGATAATTTCTCCAAGTGTACAGAATGTTTGGCCCAAAAAGTCCTAAGCATGACAAAGGTTTATAAAAACAAGACTTAGCTGCACAGTGAAGCAAAAGGATGGTGACATGGTAAATCTTTTAGTAACAGCAAAGACGTTTTTCACATTTTGTGACATTTCACCAACAACCGGCTTTATGAGCTTTATGTCATATAACATCACAAAGGAGCACATAATGCTGAAATGAAACAAAAATAAGATTTGTATTGACTAAAAATTATGACTTGCATTTGCATACAGGATTCTTTTGTTTGAAACATTTTATAGATATTATTTTAACACTAGCTTTATTTAATTAATGAAAAGTCGGCCTCTATGTAATTCAGTCTCACTCACATTAAACAGGATACTCTGGTCTGGTGAGAATGAAACTTAAGTTCTGGGCTTAAATGTAAATAAAAAAAAATCCCCTTAATATACCATACCTGTAGCCAAACACGGTACCGGCTGTGTCATGCTGATGGGATGGTTTTAGCCATAAAAGTAAAGCTGGTTAAAGTTCAGACTTACTATCTACAGTAATATGACTATGCTTCTCCAATTAAGGTTAAAGCTGGTAAAATGACTTTTATTTTAGACTTTTAGTTTATTTATTTGAAGATTTGATTACAGTTGAAAATACAGCAGCTAAAAATACATAAGTGTTAGATTATCCAATTATTTACAACATTTTAAACTACACATTTTAATACATAAAGATGGAAAATAAATTTGATGAAAAATTAAAGATTATTAAAAGTTTAATTTGTGTGTTATAGCACACCTATGATTGATGTTATGTGTAACCTCAATTGGCAGGGCTGACATTGTTGTAGACACAGTATTAAAGAAAATGTTGCATCTATTGACAGTATCAGCATCAGTTTAAAGTTTCTTATTATAGATTTTTACACAGGAAGCATGAAATTATTCCACAGATACTATACTGAGTGCTATTTTGTCTTATTTTATGTCTCTTAAATAACATTTTACAAATGATTTGTTCAATGAATTGTTGATTTTTTTTTTGTCTTAGATGTACTCTTTTCATACAAAAGTAATGCAATGGAAGATTAACTCAGGAGGGTTACATCAAGGTTTTTGCTAGACTCAGATTTGTAATTCCTGAAAAAATAAAAACCTTGTATCATTAAACGTATTTCCCTCCACTTCACACAAATATACATCACAAAGATTGATCTATCACATAAAATCATAATAAAATTACTTGACGTAAAATAAGCCGAATGGGTATGAAGATGAATTCAAGCTATAATACAAAGAAAAGAGAAAACTCAAAAATAGATAGATATATTTTAAAGAATGTCTACCTTTATAAAACACTTTATCATGTCTAAGAGATAAGCAGGATCAAAACATCCCATCTGTGCCCCTCGATTAATACTAGGGATTGAGGACTCAACAGTAGCTATTAACATATGTAAAATTGATGGGGACTATTAAATAGATATCAAAGCTATCACATTTCAATCTCATCTGATTGAATGGCAATTTCAAATTGAACATTAACTTTAGAGTTTAATTCACCATATATGTAGGCATGCATTAACCCAACAAGGTCAGTCCCAAAGATGTTTTAGATGGTAATTCAGCAGCCTGTCGGAATTATTGGCAAATGTCATCAAAACAGCAGAAAATGGGCCAGCTTTGTTTAGTCTATTTGGTGAGTAAGGTTTTTTTTTTCTCTCTCTTTCTTTAATGTTTATAACCTCACCACAGATTACAGAGGAAAAACATGAGGCAACATAAAAAGCAGAATCGACTTGCTATAATCATACTCAGCACCAAGAACAGAGCGCGGATATTTGTGTTGCGTAGGCATGAGGTCTACTGTAGGAGTGAGTCCCAGCGAACTAAATATGTGTGCGGCCTCTATGAATGACCTGACATGCACAATATGCCGTAGTACACTGAATAGAAACCACAAAAACTGCTTTGAAGCAAAATTCTGAAAGTTGCTTTTACCTGAGCCAATGAGAAAATGCAGACAGACAAAATGTGGCACAACACAACAGGGGAAGCTTTCCAGGTGTCTGCGATTGTCCATGATTAGATAGGCAACATGAAAGCATGGGAGAAAATTCAATACAACCACAGTAAATGACTCACATCACAAAATTACTTGATGACTAATGAAAATGGAAATGAATAAAATACAATGAGTCATGAGATTTAAAATCTGTAAGTGTATGTACTCACCTTCTGCTCTCCAGAGCGAGTTATTTTAGGAGGACAAAATGAAAAAGGATAAATAAGTTCAAGGAAGGATAATACCACAAATAAACTTAAACATAAAATAATTCCTTAAACAATAAGATCTGGTACAATGACTTTTGTCTTTAGGTTAGTTTGGCAGACTTTACTTACATGTTTGGATATGTTACAGCTTCTAGAGTCAACATTGTACCTACAAAGACAAAGACAAATCAGTTAATTGGGGTCACTTTTATGTCAATAAAGTAATTTTGTACTCACACTTTGCTAGATTCCTTGGTTTTTTTATTGGTCATGCTTTGGATTATTTTTGGCAGGATAAAATAAATAGAAACATAAATAGAAACATAAATAGAAACTTTTTTTGTCCGTACATTTACTTCACTAGAGCGGGGCAATTTCTAACTAGTACAGAGTGGAAAAAACTGTAGTAAAAAGTAATATTGGGGTGAAACATATAAGATAAAGTTCATGTTTGAAAATATTAACCCTTAGCTATCCAATGCTGACTAATTGAATTACCTCTGCAAAGTGCCTTGAAATGACATGTGAATTGAATTGAAATCATAGGTGAGGGAAATAAAGTAATTCATAAAAAATGATCAAACTCCATATAGATAGGAGCTCACTCTGGTGTATGTCCTAATTAAGCATCATCTTGCCAGGAGCCTGATTAAATATAGATTTTAGCACTTCATTTTCTTTTCCCAGTGTCTGAACATTTTAGGCCAGATGTATTATCTGAGCCTATTTGGCTGAGGATATCTGAAAGCAGACTACAAATAAATTCAGAAAATATAGTCAAATACACATTAATTTTAGAGCTTGCTGTTTTCTATGAAAACACTTTGAAAGAAAAGGCTTCAACAAACATAATCTGTGCTTTCTAAAGTTATTATAGTTTGCTACGTACTGTAGCTACAGTAAAATGCAGGAAACTGGAAAAGTCCTGAAATACATTTTAGGACCATTTTAGAATATCAAAATATTTGACTATATTAACTTCTGTTACACAGTAAAATAACCACTTAAAGTTAAAATATTAACACTTAACACTTAGTTTTGTGATGAACGATATTGCTATTTACAGTATTTTAATGCAATAGAGTTTGGGGGGGCACAAAAACTTTTGAACCAAAGCAGAGCCCAATAAGAAAAGTTTGAAAAACACTGATCTAGAGTAAAAAAAAAAAAAAAAAAAAAGATTTTTTGTGTAACAACATTTACACAAAAGCTGAGAACAAAAATATATAACATGATTCATTTGCTTTCATTTAAAACAAATATCCCTGTTTCTGCATGTTGATTATTACAGTTATAGTGAAGTTATTTATTTTTATAATAATAACAGATTCTTCTTTTAACCCCTGACTGGGTTGTAACATGTTCGATCTGGTATTTGGATAATTCGTCTGTGGTTCACAGTTCTAAGGTTGAAAGGCCGTCATCACCCTACACCACAAATTCTCTCTCAGATTGCTGTCTGGACCCTGGCTGGGCCTGTATTACTACTGCCAAGCAAGTTAAGTAATTTTTGACAGAAATATACTCCTACAACTGCAATCATGTTTTTTTTATAAAATAAAAAAAAAATAAAAAAAACATATTGAATACTTACACGTCAAACCTTAGATTCTGTCTCTCTTCAAAGAAGAAATCCAGCACAAACTTCCTGACAAAATCTGGATTCCGGGTGTTGTCTATTACCTCTGTCCTGCCAAACTACATGAATGGAAAAGACACAAGATTTTAACTATTAGCAGCTCTGATCCAATAGTTGGTATTTGATATAACATAAAGGGGCAAATGGATAAATAAAAAACAGGATAAAAAAACAACATTTTGATTATCAAAACAATAATTTGTCTTTCAAAAATGGGCCCATGTTAAAACATCCCAAGGTGTCTGCACTCGAGTCTCTGACCCCAGACAAATCAGGAGCGGCACATCGGTCTGATCATCTACCCCCCCTTGTGTGCCCAGAAAGCCCCACTTTTATCTCCCCCACTGAGCCATGCTGTCTTTCTATCAGCCTGACAATCACACTGGTAATACTCCTGTGGGTCGCTGGCCTTGCCTTCATTGGTCTGGCCCAACAGCCCCGTGTAATGAGCTATTGATTTTGGCACCGCCTCACTGCAACCTCAATACCTCGACTCATGTCTTCAGAGGCCAGTACAGATAATCCTTGCTATCAACTGTCCCCCAGCCTATCTATTACCAAACCTTAGCAGCGGAGTGCATTTTTGGGATTTCAGGGCTTTAGGGATAATGATATCACAGACAAGGTAGGTTGATCTGCACCTTATTGTTGCAGATTATAGATTTGTTCCCACTACAGACTATTATCAAGAGGTAAGTAGAACCAAATGAGAGGCCAATATTTGTTTTTATTTTTGGCTGTATACATTGGACAAATTAAGTTTTTACTTTGAAAACCAAAATATGTACCCTATGAACAAGAAATGGCAGAGTCCAAACCACAGTTCTATGAAAAAGTGTTTGCTTGTGGTTTTAGGCAGGCTAAAAAAAAGTGTCAAATCACCAACCAAATTATATAATTGAATAAAGATAACCCAAATGAATGCAAAAAGTTTTCTAATGAATCTATTCATTAAAACAAGGCATACATCCAAACCAACCTGGGCCTCTAACTACAGCTTTTTGCCCCTAAACCTACAGTAATAACTAATCGTGCCGATCTTGTTAAAGCAAATGATATCAAAGATTTGCCTGAACTTCCATATCTTCAACTTCACCGCTGATTACTTTTACTCAGCTCTTCATTGCAAATATATTTTAGATTAGCCCCGTTAGTACGAGCAACTCATTTAAAAACATTTTCTTTCTTTAATTTTCTTATTAATACTTTTGCCATACTTTGCTCTTAAATATTCCTCCTATTCTAATTATTCATTTTAGCTCTCCTTAAATATTCCTGTTGATGTTTAACAACAGCTACTGAAATATGCTTAATAAATGAACTGGTCTTGCTCTGATGTATCTTAGAATATTGTTAATATTGGTTAAATGTTCTTGCACCGCTTTCTAATAGAGAGCAAAATTAATGATTTCATCAAAATAATTGATACATGTGTTGCCATTCTTTGAATCCTATCCATATAACATAACCAAAACCTCTGAAAATTTCTGAGGTTTGCGATAATCTTAAGCCTAGCAAATCATCCAGGTCCTCAGGCAGAAATTGAATCCAGAACCATTATGCTAATACCACTGTATACTAATACTTTGCAATTGACAGGGAGGCTTTTTGTTTTAATGAGATACTGTATTTATTCCAGATATGAGTGGCAGCATTTTCTCCTTGTAGAGCCTTTCTGCTTTATACTTTGGGGTAGTGATTTGATCTGATTTTTATAGTATTTACTGAATGTTGTTGCAACCTGGGCAAATTATATATATAAAAAAAAAAAATGTTTACACATATTGCTGAACCCTGTTTGGGCCATTTGCTCCCACCCACTGTAGAGAGAAACATTTTTAATTAAGAGGCCCACCAAAACAATCAGCTAAATTAAACCAATCTAATATAACACACTCAAATACTTAATTAGTGCGATGGGGGGCATAGAAATTAGTTGTAATTGAACAATTAGCTTTTAATGCACTATGTTAATACATTAAAACAGCCAAAACCTGAATATTCTCCAGTTTGAATATCTAATATAAAATAAAAAAAAAACCCATGAACTTAATCTGCTATCTTGGTTTTCTGAATCAGCGCTTAAGATACAACAACATGTTAGAGATGGTATTCAAGAATAAAATAATTAGCTGTAATGTGTGAGATGGCATGTGAGTTAAAGAGAGAAAAGTGCTGTAAAATATACACACAGCCATTCAAGATTTCATTCCCAACCTACAGTATGGACCTTTTCCTTTCCCCTTCCATGACATTTCTTGATTGGTTACTATCAAAAGGAGCCATGAAATTTATTTTAGTTTTGTTGGATTGATTTCAATAAAAAAAAGGATGTTAAGCAATTAGTTTTAATTGAAAATAATCTACATTAGCCCAACATTACTAGTGATTGAAGAAGCCATAATCAATAGTGGTGCTGCTGTTAACTGTTTGAATAATCTGTTAACTATTTTTGCTTTGAGTACTTTCTTTATTGCCAGAATGTGGAGTTTGCTTAATGGGTGATCTTTCACAGAAATTAAACCAAGTGGAGCTAAAACTAAACCAGATCAGGACTTCTGAACAGAGCTAATTTGTAGATTATATGCTACAAATGCTACATATGTTTTATGTTTTTTATACAGTTTGGGATTGCCATTTCAACAAATGGCATATTTCAGAGTATGTATAATGGTAAACAATTACTTTACTAAATTAGTTGACATCGATTGATAATTGAACATTTCAATAATCAAATAATCAGTCTTTATCTGATTATTTGTTTCTTCTCTAATCAATGGTTGTTGTTTGTTTAATTCTGACATTCGACAATTTAGTAATATAATTAAGGCACTTAAGATCTTGCCTTAGGTTTATTTAACATAACATAATCTCCAACTCTTAGAATTAGTCCATCCTTTTTGCCTAAAAATTGGCAAGTAAATATTTAGAGAATGAGCGAGGGAACAAAACATTAGGAACTACTCATTAACAGAGAGAAAGCTGTAAAAATAACATAAAGCATCCACCCCAGAATAAGCACAATGTTTTCCTCCAAATAATCCCCTGCAGCAAAGAATTGTGTGGAGGGACACCATAATGGTCCCAAGCTGAAGTTTCATCAAGCTGCTGGCTGCAGCCACATAAAATGCCTGAAGTGTTTAAACCCAAAGTGAAAGCAGAAACAGAGAGTGTATGGAAATCAGCTAGTAGAGAATGAATGTAGCTTGTGGTAGTCCTAATTCCTAGAAGTCCTAAAGGTTGGGAAGGAAGTTCAAAGGTTATGACTTGAAAAAAAAACAAGTCAATTGACCTGACCCAGAGGCAAACTGTAACACAAGCAGTAAACAAGTCAGAGTGTTGCTGCAGGGATGGTGAAGAAGCAATGGTGATAAAAATCATACCACCAACATTTTTTAGGTTTTTGTTTCAGCTACTGTATGTGCTGTTTAACTCTGGTTTTAAACTATATTTCTTAATAAATTCAGTATGTTGTATGACAAGCATTGCCCATTAAAAAGAATAACTATGAAAATAAATAAAAAAGAAAATGTATGGATGTCAAAGGGGCTTATTAATGCTTGCAAAAAGAAAAATGTGCTATATAAGGAATATATTAAGGCGAAAACAATCGATGCTGAAAACAGGTATAAAAAATATAAAAATAAACTCACAAGTATTCTAAGAAGCTGCAGAAAAAAATATTTTAGCTCCAAATTGGAAAAGAACAAGGATAACACAAAAGGATTATGGGCAGTTTTAAATACAATTATTAAAAAAGGGAAGAAAGCACATTCTTATCCAAATTACTTTATCCATGAGAATACAACAATAACTGATACTAAATGTATTGCTAATGAATTTAACAAGTTTTTTGTAAATGTGGGTTCCACTTTGGCAGATGAAATCAAAGATGATGATGAGGCAGAAGCTGAAGCTATTAAAAATGTGGAAATAAATAAGAATTCAATGTTTTTGAATGCAATAGAAGAGGAAGATATATTAAAAATTGTGCATGAACTTAAGCCAAAAACCTCTGCAGATTCTAATAATATTGACATGGAATCTATAAAAAAATTGATAAGAGTAATTGTAAAACCACTGAGGTATGTGTTTAATTTATCCTTCCAAACTGGAGTATTTCCACAAGAAATGAAAACTGCCAAAGTGGTTCCACTATATAAAGCTGGCGAAAAACATTGTTTTACAAATTACCGTCCTGTGAGCATTTTATCACAATTTTCAAAGATCTTGGAGAAGTTATTTATTAAAAGATTGTTGTTTGGCCAGATGTTTGGCTGTTATAAATAAAGCCCGGCATCTTCTGACCAAACAAGCTTTAAACACATTATATTTCTCATTGTTTCAGCCCTATTTAACTTATTATGTTGAAGTGTGGGGCCACACTTACAAAACAAACATTCAACCACTGATTATTATGCAGAAGAAAGCAATACGAGTAACGAATAACAAACATTATAGAGATCACACTCATTGCTTATTCCTAGATTCAAGAGTTCTTAAATTTGTAGACCTGATCGATTTCAAAACTGCTCAAATTCTTTATAAAGCAAGAAATAAATTACTTCCTGCACACATACAAAAATTGTTTACAGATAGAGATGGAAAATATAATCTAAGAGGAAAATTACATTTCAAAACTAAGTGTGTTCGAACAACAAAAAGAACCTTCAGTTTATCAGTTAGTGGAGTGAAGCTCTGGAACAGCTTGCCTGAAAACATTAAACATTGTAAAAGCATCCAGCAATTCAAAAAACAATATAAGAAAAGTATTTTTGATGAATACAAAAAAGAATAATGTTATTCAAAAAGTTATACTGTTTGTCTTACTGTAATCGTCCTTTACCACCATGACTTATGTAACTGAGGGGTAGGGTTTAATAAGCTTATGCTTCATCCTGCTCCTTTTTGAAACATGCTGTATGTTTAGGTAGCATTCTATGCAAACATTGTAAAATCATGTCATGTTTCAAAATAAATGAAATGAAATGAAACTACTGTTTTGGTGCAGTGGAATGATTTTAGATTATTGTTAAAGAAAATGTTTTCGGTTTAGCTG